TCAAATGTTACCAAGTGTCAAACAGTTCATATAATACCAATTTAACATCATAATGCAGTTAAACTCCAGATTTTGTCCAGATAAGGGGTGACCACACACTCTCAGTGCTGAGGCACTGAGACACCACCACCAAACACTCAGAAGAAATAATAATATTTGCAGACATTTTTGTTCCACTCCCCTCTTTTGGCCCTCAGTCTGTCTAACCCACGTGTGAGAACTTACATTAAACTCCTCCCGGAAGAGCTTCCCTTCGTCTGCTGAGCGTATCCGGATTTCCTCCTCCAGATTTTCCACCGGAATAGGAAAATACTTCTTTGGGCCGGAGGGAGACCTGCTGAGCAACATGACCCGTTGCTGTTCTGTCAGGACAAGGGAAGGGCATGTTAAAGGCACGTCCAGAGCAACAGAGACCAAGATATTTCCAACTACAGATTCATCTTTAAGCCGGAAGATGCCAAACCAAACTTCTCACATGAGGCTTCAGCCGGTGATAAAATTGACTTAAAGGAAATAAAAAAACCAAATCATAAGCCAAGTAGTTGCTTTGAGAACTTAATAATATCAAGAAGAACCTGGTGAAATGAATGGTTTCTGTATTTGCACTGGATTAAAATGTGACCAAGAAAAGGAGAAAGTTCACTCTGCTGACAGAGAGCAGGGACAGCTTTTGGCATCTATCATCAAAGAGATGCTGTGAGATACTTTCACTTGTGAAGGAGAAATAAAAATAATTTTAAAAAAACCCCTATCTTTAACTTGGCAGCCACCAGAAACTCTGCACCAAGACTGGTTGCTCCTGTTTTCAAGCTCCAGCAGAGCAGGAAGCTGAAGGGTATATTTAGAGGTTTGACTCTCCCTCTGACTGCCACCCCGTTTTACCCACTTGTTAGGTCGCACATAGCCCAGTGGGACTTCCACAAAGCACAGATTGATTATTTTTATCATTAAATTCATCGTTTTTCTCTTGGTTATGGCTAAAAGAACTTGTCCAGCCTCTCTGTGTTTGTGGGGTTTGAGCTGAGCCCCACAGAGTGATGCACCCACGGGGCTGCTCAGGCACAGAAACAATTATAAAACCAGAGGAAAACATTTTGAACTCTCTTATTTTTGTGCCATTAGTTTAAAAAACTGCCCTATTTCAGCCTCTTGCTTTATCTTCACATTCAGGAACCAGCCAATAATTTCACAAAGAGTTAAGGCCCCTTTTTTCCGCATTTGAAGAAGAAATTCTGCAATTCTTTCTCTAAATACAAATATCAGTGTCAGAAACCTGGACCTCAGCTGGCATCCTGCTAAAACCTCTATAAAGAGCCAAAAAATCATTTACAAAGAATCATTTACTGTATCACAACCTAAAGTGAATATTCTCTAGAACCAAAACCTGAAAGTTAAGACCATATATAGACATATTTAAATATGGATCTCTATTTCAAGGCCAGGTTGGACAGGGCTTGGAGCAACCTGGGCTAGTGGAAAGTGTCCCTGCCCATGGCAGAGGGTGGAACAAGATGAGCTTTAATGTCCTTCCAATTTGGGATTCTATTTTTTTGAACTATTTTATACTATTTTAAACCAGAAATATAAGCAGACAGAAGTAAATTATTTTGAACTAGAGAGCCAGGGCGTGTGCACACAAACAAACTGCAAGCAAATCTCTCCATACCTTGCTCTTCCAGGATCCCGTTCGGCATCTTTTTGTCCCCGGAGGTCACGACAGCTTTCCTGTGTCTCCTGAACCTGAAACACGGACAGCAAGTCACCTGAGCAACACTGCTGGTAGGCAACCAGAGTTCTCCCCACACCATTATTGCACCAACCATGTAATTCTAGAGAAACTCTTTCTGTTCATCTTCCCCGTGGCCACAGCCCGTGGTCTGTGCTGGAGGTTCTGCCTCTCCCCGCGCGTCTTTCGCTTCCTCGTGAGGTCACATCGAAACAGGGCTGAGCTGACTTCAGCCTGCACAGCACCCCCCCACACACACCTACCTGAAAAAATACCCAACCAGCACCAGGAAGATGATGACAACCAGGCCCAGAATCAGCAGAGAAGTGAGCAGGTCCTTGTGCAAGTTGTTCTCTTCGGTGGAATCTGTGGATGGAACACAACGTGAAATATTGACACAGGCTTCCTCAGCTGGTACAAAAACTGTGCCCGGGGCATCAAAGGTCTGTGGTTCCACACAATGATCAAAATTATTTTACTTTGGCAAAGCTCAACATGAAAGTTCACTATTTTTTTTTTTTTTACAATTTCTCTTTTTCTTCCCTCCTTTTTCAACTTTTCAAGCTCAGCTTGAAAGTTCAATTTTTTTTTTTT